CAGCCCCGCAGAACCCCACAGAATCCTGCACGGCCCCACAGAACGCTGCATGCCCCGCAAGGCCCCGCAGAACCCTGCAGAACCCCACACAGCCTTGCACAGCCCCGCAGAACCCCGCACGGCCCTGCATAGCCTTGCAGAGCCCCGCATGTCCCATAAGGCCCCGCAGAACCCTGCACAGCCCCCCACAACCCCGTACAGCCTCGCACAGCCCCGCAGAGCTCCACAGAACCCCACACGGCCCCGCAGAACCCCGCACAGCCCCGCACAGCCTCGCAGAGCCCCGCAGAACGCTGCATGCCCCGCAAGGCCCCGCAGAACCCCGCACAGCCTCCCACAGCCCCGCACGGCCCCACACAGCCCCGCACGGCTCCACAGAACCCCGCACGGCCCCGCAGAACCCCGCACAGCCCCGCACGGCCCCGCAGAACCCCGCACGGCCCTGCACAGCCCCCCACAGCCCCGCATGGCCCCACAGAACCCCGCACAGCCCCGCACGGCCCCGCAGAGCCCCGAGGGCGCGCCGCGGCGCCGGGACGCGGCGTTTCACGGATCGCCGCCCTCACCCGAGCCGAAGCCGCGGCCTTTCCGCTTCTTGGCCTTCTCCTTCAGCTTGTGGATGCTCTCTGCGGAAAGACGGCCGGTCAGGGCCGGGCAGCCCGAGCGCGGGCGGGGCGGGGGGTTCCGGGCAGCGGGGAACGGGAGCAGAGCCGCACTGCCCGCCCGCCGGGCCTCGGCCGCCCTCACCGTCGCCATCCTCGTCCATGGCGAAGTCCTCGCCGCTCGGCTCGTGCAGATCCAGAACGTCCGCCATCTTGCCGCGCTCTCCCCGACCGCCTTGCGGTGCACGACGGGAAACGCGCCGGAAGCGGAGTGGTGCCGCGCGCAGGAAATGCGTCAGTGTCGCGCGCCGGCCGCGGGGTGCCGCCATCTTGGGGAGGACGGAGGCGGAGGGAGAGGGGCGGGAGCGCGCGCGGCGCCATCTTGGGGAGGTCAAAGCGGCCACGGAAACAGACGCGCCCCATAGAAATGCCACGGAGCTGAGCGGCTCTGGGGTTCTGGCCCCAAAAGCACCCACACGCCCCATAGATACCCTACAGACACACCAACGAACGGTGGCTCTGGGCCTCCACCTACAAACACACTACCCCATGGATGCCCCATGGACACCCCATAGATAACCCATAGATGCCCCATGGATGCCCCATAGATACCCCATGGATGCTCCATTGATACCCATGGATACCCTATAGATACCCTATAGATACCCTATAGATACCCCATGGATACCTCATAGTTGCTCCATGGATGCCCCATGGATGCCCCATAGATACCCCGTAGATGTCCCATTGATACCCCATAGATACTCCATGGATACCCCATAGTTGCCCCATGGATACCCCATAGATGCCCAATTGATACCCCATAGTTGTCCCAAGGATGCCCCATAGTTGCCCCATGGATACCCTATAGATACCCCATAGATACCCCATGGATACCCCATAGTTGCCCCATGGATACCCCATAGGTGCCCTATAGATACCCCATAGATACCCCATGGATACCCTATAGATACCCTATAGATACCCCATGGATGCCCCGTAGATGCTCCATCGATACCCATGGATACCCTATAGATGCCCCATGGATGCCCCATAGATACCCCATAGATACCCCGTAGATGCCCCATAGTTGCCCCATAGATACCACATGGATACCCTATAGATACCCTATAGATACCCCATAGATACCCCACGGATACCCTATAGATGCCCCATAGATGCTCCATTGATACCCATGGATACCCTATAGATACCCCATAGACACCCCATGGATGCCCCATAGTTGCTCCATTGATTCCCATGGATACCCCATGGATACCCCATAGTTGCCCCACGGATACCCCATGGATACCCTATAGATACCCTATAGATACTCCATGGATACCCCATAGTTGCCCCATTGATACCCCATAGATGCCCCATTGATACCCCATGGATACCCCATAGTTGCCCCATGGACACCCCATGGATACCCTATGGAGCTGGGTGGCTCTGGGGCTGTGCCCCACAAAACCAGGTGTACCCCATAGATATCCCACAGACACCCCACAAACACCCCACAGATCCCCACATTGGAGTGGTTTATTGTATAAAACCTTGGATACAAAAGGCAGCCGTCGGTGTGAGAGCAGGGATGTGTGCGGGCACTGCTATGGGGTGAGCACAGCACTGCTATGGGGTCAGCACAGCACTGCTATGGGGTGAGCACAGCACTGCTATGGGGTGAGCACAGCACTGCTATGGGGTCAGCACTGCTATGGGGTCAGCACAGCACCGCTATGG